TCAACGTGTTATACTCAAATTTATAAAACAAAGTTGCTTCTTCAGTTATTTACCCTTTAAAATTTGTTAAATTTTAAATTAATGTAAAAGTGAAAAAAATATATTATTTACTCGAAAATAAACGTTTATTTATGTACGTCGTAGACTGGACCCTTTCAGATAACAATTTTTTAATTGATCGTTTTTATTTTAATTTGCTTTTCTGATAAATTATTATAGTTTTTATAATTATTTATTATAATCGATGTAGCATTTAATTTTTATAGTTTTTTAATATTGTTATTATTATATAAAGCTACAAAAAAACATTGACGCAGGTACAATCTATTCTTTGAAAATTATATTATTATTATAATTTTTTTTATTTAACGGTGATAATGATACAGTTAATAAAATAAATTAGTTGTAATTGTAACTTCACACGAGTCAAATAAAACTTTGACATTCACTAAATTGCTTTAAAATTTATAATGAACCAACATCTGTTAAGTAGAAGTTATGAACAAAAAGTCAAAGTAAGTACTACTTATTTTAATTTAAAATATGTAGTTATAGATATGTAAAATGTTATTGTAACATTACTTAAGACTGGTACTTGTAAAAGAAAAATTCACTTGAAATAGGAACCAAAATACCAACCAGTTGCTCACTCAATAAAAATGAAAGAAGAATATAACACCATAGCTTTGGTCTTTGATCATGATCATTTAAAGGGTGATTTCTGAGGACTTGCTTTTTGTTCCTTTGACATAGCAGAGACAAACACGCCAGTAGGTTAGAAAATAGTGGCCCAAGACAGAAAATTATCTTTCTTTTAATGTATATCAAGCTAAAACTTTTGTAGTTGATTCAGTATTTTAATATATTACATTAATTACAAAATGTTTGTCAATAAATCCTAGAAATTTTTAATGGCTATGCTTAATTAATGATTTTTTGCGTCCATATTTGAAGAATTGTAAACAAACTTTTATTTTTTATTATTATTATTAGATAAGTATATATATATCATATAATTCATATATTTCTTTCTCGGATTCCTCATCCCTTTTCTGGATTCTGAAGGTAACTACACTGAGAGAAAAAAATGGTTTTTATTACCAAATCTGCATTTTTATAACCAAATGCTTTATTCAGTATTTGACTTACAAACGGCTACGTTATTAAAAACAAATGATTAGCTTCAAGACATTTGGTCATATTTACTTAATAATTTGTTTTTGGTTATTAAAACCAAACCAATTAGTCGTAATAAATAAGTTATTTATTTATAAGAATCAAATTTTTATTTAAAAAAAATATATTTATTTATAAAAAACAAATGATCTTTTTTTGTTAACAAATCGTTTTGTTTTAAAAAATAAGTAATATACAGGGTATTTTAGACTTGTGGTGCCAAAAGTTCAGGGGAGATTCCTCTCAAGTATGAAAAAAAGTTTTTATGAACATGTATCCGAAAATGATTCGTTTCCGAGATACAGGGTGTTTGATTTTTTTTAATTGAGTTTTTTATTTATAGCTTAAAAACACCTTTTTAACATTATTTTGATTATTTTTGTAACAAAAAAGTATCAAATTTAAACTTTTTTTTTTAAAATAAAACACCCTGTATCTCGGTAACGAAGCATTTTCGGACACTTGTTCATGGGAACTTTTTTTTCATATTTTGATGAGAGGAATCTCCTCCGAGCTTTTGGCACCACAAGTCTGAAACACCCTGTATTATTAAAACAAAACATGTATTTTTATAATTTAGCGTTTTTATAAAAATTAGGGTTTTCTATATTAAATAACACTCGGCCATTGATAACAATACATTTTATTTTAATAAAAAATAAAAAACATTTTCCTTAAAAAACATGTTTGCAAACAAAAACTTTTTTTTTTTGGTAAAGTAAACTAAACATCTTAAACTTAAGTAAACTAAACATCTTAATTTAAAATTCTTAAACTTAAAAAACATAACAAATTAAATTTTGGGAGGTGATGGCAGCCTTTTTATTTCATTTACAAATTTAGAAAAATATTATTTTTCTAAATTTGTAAATGAAATAAAAAGGCTGCCATTACCTCCCAAATGTGCGACTAGGGGAAAACAGTCGTTCTCATATTTTTTAGATAAAAAAATTTTACTTCGAATATTATTACATATTTTAAATGCGTCAAAATGGCTGTTAAAGCCATAAATTTTAACTTTTTCACAAACAAAGAATATCAGATTATCATTTTCATACACAATATATTCGATTTTGCCAAATCTGGGTTCCTCTAATGTTTTTCTTATTCCAGTTACTATGTAACATCTGCGTTTAAAAACCAAGCCATTAATGTTTATTGTATTAATCAATAAAGAATTTTCAATCAAAAATGTATCCATATTTACCTAATTTAGGTATAAACTATACAGCACGTCCGGACGCGTGGGGGAGTGGCCCTTTGCACAAACTAACACAATGGCCGAACTAAAGCATCTACGGCGAATAATCAACGTGTTTTATCCTGCATTTGTTTTTTATAAGCAAGCAACAACTGATTTATTCATACAAACTCTATTTGAAAATGGTTTGTTATTATTAAACTATATTTGTTTTTTATAACCAAATACAGTGAACCAAATCATTTTATTTATTATATTTTACCAAATATATTAAAACAAATCATTTTTTAACTATACCCAGACTATTTCTCTCGGTGTACTAATTCCTTGGTCTGACTTCTGAAATAGTTTGTTGCAAATATCATTAAGTGTGGTATCTCTAGTTTGTGAAGCATTTATAATGTTTAGGCCGGAACAGGATGATTTATATACATATCTAATATTTTTTCGGGTGGTATGTTAAAAGTATTTTCCGAATTTATTAATTTTGTTGCCATTAGTTTTTTATGTTCTCTATCATGCACTGTATTCTGCAAGATGTCCTGTGACGAAGAAATCACTACATTACTTACTCTCTAAAAATTAATTAGTCAAAAATGTCATAGCGAAAAAGCAGCCACTAATAATTATCGTCAACAGCAATTTGTATCCAGGACATTTAGCAGTCAATTCCTAACAGTTTTTGAAATATAATCAATATAATCAATAATATGGAGATGACTATATATCATCCCTTAGACAATAGAAGAGCGTTAAAAAACCACCATTGTATTTTAATATTAAAACCTCTTCAAGCAAAAACTGCAAATAAATTTAGTTTGTCCATTCTAGAATTGCTAATAATACACTATTATTAAGGTGATTTGGGTACTTCGATCGAAGGAAATACCATAATTGTAGTTATTAATAATACCGACCTAGAGTAATACGACGTTTTGTATCTGCGTGAATGATTAGGAAAATTATTTAATTATATGTCCCTTCAATATTTGTTTTCCAATAAATATAATCGTTACGAAGAAACGATAAGCATGTGTCTCTTGTTTATGTTATGATATTAATTTTATTACTATTAATTATTACGTAGAAAAATTTTAATTAATATTAATTCGGGCATTTAAAAGAGGAATTCACGGTGCTGTTCTGAGAGGTGATTTTTGAACTTTCTGTGAAACCTAATTTTTTTTATATTCTTGTTAATTAGGTCATAACTAAAATTTTAAGAGCAAAATAAAAAAAATTTGACGGTTAATTTTGTTTTAATTGGATGTTTATTAAAAATATGTATGCACACTTTCAATTCTCCAATTAAAACTTGCGATTTTATTTAAATATTATCATAACTTTTTAAATCAGATTAAAGATTAGTTAATTTCCTAAAAAAAGGTCTATACATTTTTTATATCTTTTACTGTTTTGTTGTAATACACGTTTAAAGTTTTAATTTAAGGTTAAATGTATAGTATACATTTATTAAACAATAATTCTAAGGGTGCCACATTTTATTTAGGGCCGATTTATTCATTTTTCATTTATTTGACGAATAATTTCTTTGGATACTAGATATTGCCAAGACATGAAAGTTATCGGCCCGATAAACTTTACTAAAGATAAATAAACCGGTCCTTAGTTAAATTTCATGAATTTCTTCATAACTTTTACTACAATTTTTCATTTTTGTTTATAAAAAACACTTTAAAAAACTAAACAAAAATTATAGAATACGTATACTGAAAATGACAATTCAAACGTCAAATAAATTTTTAATAGATCTAAGTTTCATGGCAACCTTTAAGGATATATTAATTAAGGGAACATAAATGTATACGTCAAAGGTTAGATTAAAAGTTTGAACGTTTATTGCAACAAAACAGTAAAATATATAAAAAAAATTGTAAAAACCTTTTTTTTAGTTATGCAAATATTGAATATTTAAATTAAATTGCTAGTTTTAATTGGATAATTGAAAGAGTGCATAATATTTTTAATAAACAGCCAATTAAAACAATTGAAAGTCCAAAAATCACCTCTCAGAACAGCACAGTGAATTGGGACTGCTGGTAAAAATATTTTTTTCAATAAAGTTTTGTCTTAACCAGACACAGATTTTCAGTCTACGTGGAAGATCTTGAGCATTTAAAGCTAGTACTCTGTGAAAAGGGAACTAGCAGTGTTCGTAAATGTAATTTACCTTTTTTGTTGGAAATTACAGCAATGGTGTGCAGATAACTTTGAACACCCTGTATATAAATATTCTTATATAAATGTTTGAAGATTAACATGCAATCCAGCTTTCTACAAACAATTTTAGTGCGTAAATAAAAAAATTACCGGAAATAATTTAAAAAATTATTTATACAATTTTAATTGTTATGTCAATGTTACATATGTATATGTGGATATATGTGGCAATCTTAAATAAAACAATTAAGTAATTAGAAGAAACTATACTTGTTTTCTTAATACCTATATTATTATTATTATATAAAAAGTAGTATTCACTGTTCAATTCTCTATGGCCTCTTTTAAATATTGACGCGTGTTAACAAATTAAACTAAATAAAAAAACTGATTACTTTACTACTATTGGGGCTGTATTAATTTATATATAATTTTTTTTCAGAAAACCCGTATACCTGGGTTGACTACAATGAAATTTCAATATTACTTCCGAATAGCGCACTTTGCAAAAAACCATTTTGGTGTTGAAGCAGGCAAATACAAAAATCAAGATGAAGTTCCAATTCAGATGCTTCTGTCAAAGCATTTTCACTTCAGTAAGTACAATTATTTCACTTTTAGTGTGAATGCTATTCCTAATATCAACTCTAAGCAACACTAATTAGAGTTCACACAGGTCCACACTAAATAGTGTTGTTTTATAACACTACGATTAGAGTTAATTTGTAGTGTAATTTTCCCCAAGTAAGCAAGTATGATTTAACACTATAGCACTGAGGATAAAGTAATTTTACACTGTATTAAAAAATGTTAATTTACCTAAATCGTGTACTTCTACACTTCCTGAGTAAAATCCCACTTTTGTTCAGTGTAAATTAACACTACTTTGAAAAAGTTCTAATTTTAGAAAGGTACTTTTACTCTTTAAGTGCAAACTTTTAGTGTAAATTAACACTATTATTTGAGTAAAACCTATTGGTGGTAGTGAATAAAACGAAAAGATAAATAAGGAGAAACATTTATTTTGAACAAAAATCTATGAAAATTATCAAAATCGGTGCCTTTTAAAATATAATTTTATATTTGAGTCGAATGGCTGGCTTAAGCAAAATGGTTCCTTAAAACGTAAAAGTTTTAGATCAATGCAATGTTTTACTGGCTCTCAACTTGTAAGCAATGAATTATCTTGAGAATTCATCAGTATTCCATTTTTCTGTTATAAAAAATGGGTGATCCCATTGGTAGAGAGGCGTCAGGCGGCTGTATGACGGGGATTTACCACACGTGTACAAATTTTCCATAATATTAATAAAAATGTAGGTATGGATTAATATAACAACCATTACGCTTGAAAATAAAAAGTTATATTATTAATGTTACAAGTACCCGACCTACTGCCGTAAATTATTGATATATAATATAGGTCGGGTATACCCATATATGGACATCCTTTTAACATATTGGTATTTATTGAGTATGAAGGCTTAAATAAAAAGGAAGTATAATATTTACCAAAAAATAAGAATGACCCCTTATGGATTCACCGTAATTAAAATCTAACTGACCAAAAATGCCACACTTCCACAACGCGGTATCTCCGGATATGCACTGCGTAGGTAGATAGGTACCAACCAAACATTTTAAAACGCATTTCGGTTATTACCAGTTTTTTCAGTCTATTTTGCCACTATTGGTGAAATTTAACTTTAATTGTGATACAATGTGCACTAGTAGTGTAAAGAAAAAAGAGCTCTTAGTAACATCAAAATAGACAAAGAAATTGGCATGCACTGTAGTGTACATTTTGTCACTATTTAACACATTAAGGGGTAATAAACACTCGCATTAAGTTTTTCTACCCTTTTGATTTATTTTAATAATAAATAGTGTGAATATACCAATGGGAGAAACCTAAAATATTTTTTTACTGTGTAGTCGTATTGAGTTTTAAAATCAGAACAAAATGTCTACCATAGCATTGTAACTGAAATGTCAACCCGCAATTTAAAATGGAAATCAACATTAAAATTGTGGTATAACGTTGAATTATTGCATAAAAACAGTGCTCACGTAAAATGTAGCAAAATGGTACATAATATGTATATTATATTTGTTGAATAACGAAACTATTCTATTTCAATACATTCCTAAGGCGTATTTAAATAAAAATAATAAACTAATAATTATGTTTATGTGTTAACACAACAATAATTCCACGCCTCGTAATCTTTGAAATTCATATTATTAGATCAATAATTAAGTTTACCTAATATTTTTAAATTAGCATATGTTATAACACCAACGATTAATATTGTTTTTGACATAGATGCGTAAAAAAAATATTCTTGAAACTTGCCTTCATAGGTCATTTTAGAATTATACAGGGTGTTTTACAGCTGAGCTGATCAAAATTTTTTAAAATTTAAAAAAATATGGGAGGATTAAAAATGTCTAAAAGTCGAAAAAAAGCGAAGATTATTATCCGTAGTCACCTATTTTTAACTACTTTTTTATGTGATTTATATACATTATTATTTATAACTAGTTTAGTTTGTTTAAATCAATGCAACCAATTTTTTAAAAATACAAGTTTCATAATTAACATTTTTAGTTTTTGAATTACTTATATGGGTGATTCTACAAAAGTTGGGCAACTTTTGACCTCATTTTGTTTATATAGTTTTCGGAGAAAATTAAACAGCATTTTGTTATGAGAACATAGATAATATAATAAATATACTGTTCCAGACCGGACCAGTCACTTTTTCAAACAGTTTCCGAAATATCTGTGTTTTCTAAATTTGAATGCAAGGAAAATGACGAGTATACCAAGGTACTAATTAAATACATAATTTATTGGAAAATATAACAGTTTATAACAACTTTGAGCATATTATACATTAAATATCTTAAAATCAAATAATACCACACATCAGTGGCGGCTGGTGGATTTTGGGTATACCGATATCTCAATTATTAGATATGGGACCCACACCAAATTTAGATGATTTTATAATGACATTAAATAAACAAATTCTGCGCAAGCAGAATTTAAATTGAAGTTTGCGAAAAAAATATAACCGAAACATCGAACATGGAACTGACGACATGGATACAAATTTGAGATTATAATTCGGAATTAAGTATTTTACTGATATTTTTTATTAGTGGATGCTACTTATCAACAAATCACATATAGCCTTATATAAATTACAATAAAATATATATACGTAAGAAAATAACTACTCACCACAGTACTGAACTATACGTGCATTCACCACAACTTCGCCGCTTGCATTGTTTTCAAGATGACTGTCGTGCAAAGCGCGGGCTCTGTAGGTAATTTTTTACCAACACTTGAGTTAAAACGAGGAGTTGACGTTTAAACTTCAATATTTCGCAGGAATTTTGAATTTTAACATTGGACACAGAACTGACGGGTAAAAGTGAGCACAAAGATTATCATTTTTTTTTAAATTGCTATTATTCGAATCTATGATAACATATGAAAAATACATTATTTAATGTTTTATAGTTTGTAGTGAAATTGAAAAATTTAAGATAAATTGAATATATTTTAAAATAAAATCACTCAAATATTTGATTCAGGAGTTGTGACACGCCAAGGTACTGATGTTTTGAATATTTATTATGTTTTTTATAAACGTGCTTTTGAAAAAATACATTAAAATTGGGTGGACAAGTTAAAAAAACCTGGATCTTTTGTAATCTACAAAATATGCATTTGTATATAATAATAAAAACTATTTATTCATTTTATATGAAATACCGTTAAAGGTTCGTCTTCTATCGATAGTTGAAGTCTTTTTTTATATTTTAGGTAATACCTACTCAAAATGATTTGTATTTGTTTTGCTAAAATATTGACTACTTTGGTTCATTGCCTTCAATTAATTTTTCAATCAACCTATTTGCCAAACATTTTAATTGCTATCTTGCAACCTTTACTGAATTGTATCAAATTCCAACTGGCGATCTTTATTGGCATGCCTAGTGTTTCCCAATTTGTTGCAGCAGCCGCTACCAACGTAAATGTAAATAAAATGCTCGATGGCTATTTCTACCTGTTCAATGAATATGGCTTGATATTTCAAATTGGAAAGTCGGCATTTTTCAGTTTCGTAATGTTTGTTTTATTGAAAACTATGCTGAATTCCAAACTTCATATATATATTTATTTTTTTGTTCAATCGACAATCGATTTTCGCGAGCTTATTACTAATTCATATTACCCAGTCATAAGAAAATCAGAGGACGAAATGGAAACATCACTACGCTCTACCAGTCAAAGGTTCTCGAGAAGAAATACTCGAGAATGGCCGGGAAGATCTCCAGACTTAACGCCATTTGATTGTTTTCAAAAGACCACCTAAGAACATAAAATCTACTTACTGAGACATTACACTTCACGGAGGATAGGTTTTTAAATAGCAAATTAATGAACTTAAACTTTTGAATTAAAAAACAGCAACACTCTCATCTGCATGTAAATTCTAACTGACCTTCAGGAATCACATGCATCTATAATGTCGTAAACAGAGGTTTTTGCTTATTTAAAATGATTAAAGCGCTATCCGTTGCATAAAATTTAAAGCAAAAACAGATTCACGGAGGATAGAATCAGTTTTTGTAACACATAAAGGGTTATAAAAATTATTTCTTTTAATTTTTAATAATATTTTATATTTGATTCGATTGCTTTGGATGTGTTTAATTTACTTAGTGAACTGATATTTTTAGTATGCTTTTACTACCTCAGATATTTGAAAACATATAGGTTAACCTAGAGAGAGTAACAGTCACGGAGGATAGATTTAAGACTTGTACCATTGTAAAAAATAATTAATTGCGGTTAAAATTTCACATGTTTCGTACATTAAATTTAAGGTGATACTTAGTTGCAAAATCAATGATTTCCCATCTCGGGTAAAATATGTGGAAATCTTGCAACACAGCACAGCAACATTGCCGAATGCGACCACCTTCGTACTTTCCGTTTCGTCTGAAACGTAAACTAAATTAACATCTACAAATATATACGTTTAATTGGTCGAATAACACTTTCACCCACCTAAAAACACTGACCAGTGTGTGCAAGCTTTATCTCTCGAGGGCTCGCGACCTTAAACTATTAATTGCCAAACCTCAAGAATTCCAATGTATTGATATTTGACTATTATTTGATATATTAACTTTTTTATGCAAATAATGTTTTTGTGGCCAGGATCAGTTTTGAATTAGCAGTATTAGCAGTTTAGTACATTTTGTAATTTTTATACAAATATTGTTGTATCTTTTATTAAAAATTATGTATAGCATAACACATAAATGGCGTTTAATATACAGGGTGTTTCACGTACGTAGTCCGTTGGAAGTTTCTAGGGAATCGCGAAAGAAATCGATTTAAAATTTTAATAGCGTAAATTATTCGATTTTGACTTTTTTTCCTAAATTATTTTGAACAAAATAATACTTCCTGTTTTACCGGAAATGTCTTTAACTTTGTTATTTTAATCAGGACACCTCATATATTTTTACATTTTTGAATTCTACATAAAATTCTGAGTAAAATGGCAATCGAGTTATTAATTTTTCAATCAAATATTTTAATTAATTTTAAACAATGACAGATTAAGTGGTAACCATGGATACTGGACACATTAACCCACATGTAGAATTTCACAGGTTTGTTGATACAAAATTGTATTGTATTAGAAATTGTTAAATGTCTCTGAAATTTTAACTTTAGAAAACAGTTATTATAATACCAATCGAAAGATTCTTTAATTTTTTATTTGATTATGTTAAAACATACAGGGTTTTACATTTATAATAAAAACGTTATTATTGTTTGAAGTTTGCCTAATTTCAAGTGGTTTTTTTCAAGCCATTTGTTAAAAAACCTTTAAAAAATTAAATTATTTAAACAATGTTTTAATTTTCCAAAAATTCCAACCCCATGTCAGCAAACATAATAACAAAAAAATTGGAGGCTATAGCCTATATATTTTTGTTATTTAGGTTGTTTTTTAGGCATAGTCTAAATCAAATTGTATTCTCCAGAAACACCCTGTATATCATTATATTAAATTTAAAAAAATGCAAAATTACTAATTACAAAAAATCGAAAAACAACTGAATAAAAAATATACATACATATATCTGTTTGGAATTAAAATTGAAGCTTGCTTATCGGGTAAAAAATAAATTGAAGCTTGGTTGTGGAGCAAAAAATAAAATTAAAGTAGGTTATAATTTCTAACTTGCTGACACTGTCTATATTTATTATTTAATTTATTCATTTTAATAAATTAATGTTTTGAGTTTTTAGTACACTTATAAATTGAAATGCAATCAGTCATTTGCAACTTATAAACAAATTATCTTTCATGCTTCCAATGGTAGGTTACCATAGAGAAAAGACTATGATGCCTACTATGATCAAAACTAGTAAACTTGAAAAAATTTTAAATTTATAAATAAAAGTAATTTTAGCTCCATCTATGGCGATACGCGAAACCATAGTTACTATGTTTTGTCAATATTTAAATTACACAGGAAATGTTAATAAGCAAATAAAGAGATACAATATTATATATCGTAGACGAACTAAAAGTAAAATTAATTTAGCTTGAGTACAAAAGTGAAAAAATTTGAACTTGACCTTCAAATTTTATTATCTAATATGTAGATAAATTATTTAAATATTTTTAGGAATTTCCCCACTAAATATAATTTATTTTGTTATTTTTGGCGTTTGAACATCCTTAATATTATATAAAAACCGCAACAAAATCGTATTAGATTATTATAATTTATGAGGTAGATACTTAAAATAATATGTTATTTAATATTTTAATTAATTTTTTCATCGCATACCAACATGTTTATTTTTAGTTTTGGAGATGATCTTTTGAATGGAATAATATTGTTTAGTTTTTTATTTTGCTTTATTTATTTTTAAATTGTGTGAAAAAGGTTAAAAATCTTATAAAATTTTTAATTAATATCGGTCAAGGTTATTTCTTGCATCATTTTAATGTCTATGGTGAATTTGTTGTTTCGGAACATTTTACACTGAATCATCGTACCAAATTTTTTTTTAAACAAGTTTTTCTTTAAATGCTGAATCCGAAATAAAAGTAAAAATTTTACCTCGTATACATTTTTATGCAAATAAGGACCAGAAAGCATCATACACTTTTTAAGCACAACTGGTTTCTGCCATTGGTTTTTTTGTTTGGTCAATAATGTTTTTCTGTATGATAACTTGGGTATTATCAAGAGAATTTCCAAGAGGTGCCTTAAAGGTGACTACACTGAAAAAAATAATCTCTTTTGCGCTTTTGAAAATCTTTACATAATTTTTTTAAACTTCTAATTTTAGAAAGGTACTTTTACTCTTTTAGTGCAAACTTCTAGTGTAAATTAACACTATTATTTGAGTAAAACCTATTGGTGGTAGTGAATAAAACGAAAAGGTAAATAAAGAGAAACATTTATTTGGAACAAAAATCTATGACAATTATCAAAATCGGTGCCTTTTAAAATATAATTTTATATTTGAGTCGTATGGCTGGCTTAAGCAAAATGGTTCCTTAAAACGTAAAAGTTTTAGATCAATGCAATGTTTTACTGGCTGTCAACTTGTAAGCAATGAATTATCTTGAGAATTCATCAGTAATCCATTTTTCTGTTATAAAAAATGGGTGATCCCATTGGTAGAGAGGCGTCAGGCGGCTGTATGTCGTGGATTTACCACACGTATACAAATTTTCCATAATATTAATAAAAATGTAGGTATAGCTTAATATAACAACTATTACGCTTGAAAATAAAAAGTAAATCAAGTATGTATGTATTTATATTATTAATGTTACAAGTACCCGACCTACTGCCGTAAATTATTGATATATAATATAGGTCGGGTATGGACATCCTTTTAACATATTGGTATTTATTGACTATTAAGGCTTAAAGAAAAAGCAAGTATAATACTATAAAAAATAAGAATGTCCTCTTATGGATTCACCGTAATTAAAATCTAACTGAACAAAAATGCCACACTTCCACAACGCGGTATCTCCGGATATGCACTGCGTAGGTAGATAGGTACCAACCAAACATTTTAAAACGCATTTCGGTTATTACCAGTTTTTTTCAGTCTATTTTGCCACTATTGGTGTAATTTAACTTTAATTGTGATACAATGTGCACTAGTAGTGTAAAGAAAAAAGAGGTCTTAGTAACATCAAAACAGACAAAGAAATTGGCATGCACTGTAGTGTACATTTTGTCACTATTTAACACATTAAGGGGTAATAAACACTCGCATTAAGTTTTTCTACCCTTTTGATTTATTTTAATAATAAATAGTGTGAATGTACCAATGAATAATGTTCATATTCTTTAAATGTGTTTAATAAAGTTAATGAGCACTAAATGCTACTTAATGTATTTTGTAGTGTAACTTTTACACTTACAAATCAACTCTAATATTTTTACCCCTACACTAAAAAATTTACACGGGCAAAATTTTTTACTGTGTAATAAATTATAAAATTATATCAAGAAATAATTTATTACATTTTAATATATACTCTATAATTATAATACTTAAATAAGCTATTAATAATATTTTTCATTAACAATTTGATTAATTTAATAATCAATCACTTTTAAAAATCAAGGAAACATTTTCTTCATAGGTAACAGTCAAGAACAAAAATAAGTATGTTTCATTTAATACATTAGAGTATTTTGGTAATTTACATAATTATTAGCATACTTTAAATATTTTTTTAAGCAAGGTCAACAGAAATTAATCATTATCATTTTATTTATTGATAATAAAAACTTTTTGTTTTGTTTTAAAACACAAATTATTAAAACAAAAAATAGAACAACATAGAAATCAAGTAATTTTATTTACCAAATACCTAAATCAATTATAAATAATTAACCACAATGAGAAACAAATAGAAGAAATATGCTTTCTCTAATATCTTCCAATTTAGCACATTCAGGTGGCAAACTATAATCATCAATTATATCAAATCAAAAAGCGTGAGATTTGAATGATTGTCCTACATAAACGAGAAGGATCTTTGGCTTTGGTGGTGCGTAGATAAGTAAAATCATATAAAAAAGTAGTTAAATATAGGTGACTACGGCTCAGCAGAGACAAAGTATTCCCAGCGGATAATAATATTCGCTTTGAAAAGAATTTATATAAAAGAAATTAAAATTGTATGTGAACACACGTTGTATTTTAAAGGAAATCGTATTTTTATTAATATCTTCGTAATCTACGCAAAAAATCACGTAAAATGAGTACCAACATCGCTATGTTTAGACAACAAACAAAAAAGTTGAACAAATGAAGATCGCAATACTTAAACGTGCAAAACTACCCTTAAACAAATGACGAACATAGGCTTGTGGGGTATCAAACAAACGGATTTTCTATGTTCTACAAGATGCCCAACAAAAAATATCATTTGGCATTTCAAAATTATTTCATTGTATTTTAAAGGAAATCGTATTTTTATTAATACCTTCGTAATCTACGCAAAAAATCACGTAAAATGAGTACCAACATTGCTATGTTTAAACAACAAATAAAAAAGTTGAACAAATGAAGATCGCAATAATTAAACGTGCAAAACTACCTTTAAACAAATGACGAACATAGGCTTGTGGGGTATCAAACAAACGGATTTTCTATGTTCTACAAGATGCCCAACAAAAAAATATCATTTGGCATTTCAAAGATATTTCATTGTTTTTTAAAGAAAATCGTATTTTCATTAATATCCTCGTAATCTTCGCAAAAAATCACGTAAAATAAGTACCAACATCGCTATGTTTAGACAACATACAAAAAAGTTGAACAAATGAAGATCGCAATAATTAAACGTGCAAAACTACCCTTAAACAAATGACGAACATAGGCTTGTGGGGTATCAAACAAACGGATTTTATAGGTTCTACAAGATGCACAACAAAAAATATCATTTGGCATTTCAATGGTGAATGGGTATTTTGTTAAAGCCACTGGACGTTAATACTTGCAGTGGCTTGATAATAACTATAATGTGTATATTGCCCAGGACTATTAATGATCAGTAACTTGCAAATTGAAAGAATAAAAAGTTTCGTGATCATTGCTTATCTGCTATTTTTTCCTTTTAGGTCGACTAGTATACGTTTTAATGGGTATATTCACATTGGTTATGGGTATAGTATTATCTTCTGTCCCATGGTTAGATTATGTCATTTTACAGGTAAGAAATATACGCTTAAAAAAATTTAAAATAATTAATTATGGAATGATTTATTTCAGAATTTAAAGTTGTGGAATGGTTCCCTCAGTTTTCAGTATTGGCAGAAACCTGGTGTGGTTAGGTTTACGAAAGTGTACATCTTCAATGTTACAAACCCAGATACGTTTTTGAGTGATGGGGAAAAGCCAAAGTTACAGGAAATTGGTCCTTTTGTGTATAGGTAAGTGTTTTACAATAATTAAAAATTTACATTTTAATTTGTATCCAGGACATTTAGCAGTCAATTCCTATGAAATATTATTCGCTGAATGTCGTCAAAAGCTATAAAAGTAAAACAATTTTTTGAAATATAATCAATTTTACATATAATATGGAATCGACTATATCTCAAAAACTGCTTAACTTTTATAGTTTTTGACGGTCTTTTCGGAGTCAGGGGACAATTTAACATAAGAATTGGCTGGTAAATGTCCGGGATATAAATAGAGTATGATATTGGACATATGTCCAATAATAGAAATTTTCCAGTAATTGGACACTGGCTACTGTTTGTTTTCAGAATTAAAATTAAAAAGCATTTTTTAGAAATATTTTTTATTGAAATTTAAACACAGCCCTGCTTTTAACAAAAAAACAAAAATCTTACCATCAAAGTTCTGCAATCCACTACCTCATAATATGTGCATGATAATAATAATAAATATTTAGTACTTTATTACACTTGTACCGACATAATCACCTGCAATTACCGTCAAATCAAGATAAACAAAGCATTGTTTATATAATTTATACTTCAGATCAGTGTATTAACATATTTCATTTTATTACCGTTTTATTAATATTTATGTTTGTTTCTATCAGTTTTATACCATAGTAAAATCTTTTAGTGAGGTGGTAAATGGTAAAATCTTACAATTTCAAATTTTTTATTTCTAAAATTAAGATGTCCCAAATAGCATGGGATTGTAAACTATAATTAAAGGTATACTTAACTCCAATGCGTCACTAATTCAAAATTAATTTCCTATAGACCTACTAAAGCTGTATTTAGCGTGTCGTGACCAAAAAGATTGCCAAATTAGCGAAATAAAAGTTGTGCAAGTGTTTTAGAAAAAAGTCCATATGTACGAGGTGTGTTCAGAAAATAACGGGAATTGTTAAATTTCGCGGGTTCGGAGGGTCCGGTTGTCATAAAATTGTCTTTATTATGTTGGTATACATGCCCCCGAAGTATGATAAAAACTTTAGCTGTTTTCATTGTTTACTGTCTGTGGCAGCCGCTAAGGTTAGACGTGTTTTATGAGCTCGGCGATTTTTCGTTCGTTAAAAGAAATTGATCAAAGAAATTGAATATTCGCCAGACATGCCTCTGTCTGACTTTTTTCTATTCCCAAAAATAAAGAGAACCTTAAAGGGCCGTCGTTTTGCAAGCATAGATGACATTAAAAGCGCATCGCTGAAAGAACTAAAGGCTATCCCAAAGATCGAGTTTTAGAAGTGTTTCGAGTATTGGAAGAAGAGCTGGCACATGTGCATAATATCCAATGGGGACTATTTTGAAGGCGACAACATTAATGTAGACGAATAAATAAACATTTGTTTCAAAAAACGAAAATTCCCGATATTTTCTGAACACACCTCTATGTTAATTGTTAAATATTATGTGCTACCTGCTTTTTGACAGCTTTTTCGAAATATAAATTCTCAAATATCTTGTTTTGTCACTTAAGCGTGTCAATAAGTGTAGGTATTCAAATAATTATGTTGTGTCTCTTGAAGCAGTCAACATGCGAGAAATTCTGTTCCCTTGAAATATTTGGTAAACTTGTAAGTCTATTTATGTATGCACGGAATATTTATCAATATCAAGGATTTTCAGGCAAAAACTTGACTGCAACAATCCCACAGAAATCCAAATTTAAAAACTTCTTCAAGTTCGCATTTTAGTAATTTTGGGTTTTCCCAAGGTAATGTTATCAGAGGGTCAGATAAAAATAAAAGTTGATGCAAAATACTCTGCTTTTAAAAGATCATTTGGTTTAATTTAAAGTTTTATTGCGACCTTGGAGATTGCAATGAGAGCATTAGTTTTATTTCAGTATATTTTAATTAAAAATATAATAATAATGTAGGTATTGTAAAAATACCTACATATGAATACGCACCCCTACAAATCTTAAAACAGTCCCCTTACTTTTAATTAATATAATAAGCATCTATAGGTTTTATAACAGAACAGATGCGTTTTATAATAGTATATTACGTATCAAGTTTGATAAACGCCATTTTATGGAAAAGTTTATAAACGAGGTGCATACTATACTTTTTCTACGACAAATACTTATTATTATCTTAAAATGATTTAAATCAAAAATTTGTATAGAGCGCCATCTATGAAACAATAGGGGAATCTGTGTGTCACCGTCAAATGTCACATTTTTATAAACACAGATTATAAAGGTTAAAAATCGAAATGTATTTCTTGAAAATTGACAGTTTTCACAGTGAAAGTAAAGAAAATGTTTTATGAGCACTTTACAGTGGAGTCCGTGCCCGAATTTAAGTTATAGTTTACTGCCGGCGAAATTAAAAGGTCAGTACAATGTTCATATAAACTTTTCAAATATTGACGTTGAGAAACTATTTAATACTTTTGTATTGAGATAAAAAAATAATTTTCACATTTAGTATTATTTTACAAGAAAGGCACTTTATTTTAACGATTGTATGACATTTGACAACCGTCAACTAACTTCAGCCCGTGACTAAAGCGCGAGTCTTTCTTAACATTTAACAGGCAAGAATATTGATGTACTCTTTAAAACGGAAAAATTATGTTTTCAGTTTGGTTTTAACTTAATTTAATGTATTACTAATGACAGCCGTGTCGTGTGGTCTGTCTTCATTGCTATGACTTTGATTCCCAGTCTAGCATTAAATTTTTTTGCAGGAAATTGCGCAAAATGAAAAAACGGGCAACAACAATATTTCCATGAACCTGTAACAAGTGGTCACGAACAACTACACAAAGGATAAAAAACCGTCTGCGTACACAATTTTATTTATTTTTAATTTTAACTCTTGGTCATACATAGTAGTACGTAAACGGTATTAAGGAACTACCAGTTCTTAAAAAAAAAAAATATTACAGTTAATTAAATTATTGGAATTTATATTCATATCAAGTTATTCACGCATTGAATCACTATCAAGGATAAATTTAATTCGCTTGTGACTTCAGGCTAACGGAACATGTTACACATTCAGTTTCTTCATCGCATGAAGGGCATCAAAGATAAAAGATGATCATGGCAATGTCAGTAGGTACACCACCTCTGATTCAAACCTATTATTTTCATAGAAACTATTACAAACAGGTTGCTGTAATGGATACTTGTTTAAAGATAGATTTTCTGTATACTTCACAGTACTCACTGAGTAATTTGTTTCTACCATCACGCACATTGTTTCCTTTACGTATTTCTTCCTAAATAGGTTTGCGGTCAACGTGTACTGGCTGCCACAGAAGAAGAAGAAGTCGATGAGATTTAAAAAACATGCACCACAAAAACTAAAACAACAAACCTTGAAGAACAATGAAATCGTTTAAAGAATAATACTACAATAAAGTGATTTATTCAATATCAAGGTTGAAGTTTGTTTATATGAAACGAAGGTAAACGGCACCTGTTACAACGTTCAGTAACCCAGCACTAAGAAGGCTTTGATTGATTCGAAAGTCTAGACTAGCTCCTAGACCAACTCAACATCTCTTTTAATAGACATAATGATTGTTTACTATTTGCTCGTTGATCTATTGTTAACACGCGTCAATGCTTCTTTTTCTCCCCTAAATCTGCTCAATTGGATTAAGATCAGGTGAACTCGAAGGCCACTCTAAAACAGTCGCACCTTCCCTTTCTAAACATCATCATGGTACAAAAGATGACAAAAGAATCACCCAAACTTAGAAATTGCAAAATCGTAAGAATATTTTCTATTTTTATTTTACAACCATGATAAATTCGTATTAAACGCTTTCAAAAATTAATGGGTATCGTAAATTAATATAAAATCTCAGTATCAGAAGTTTATGTAAAAGTGTCATCTTCTTTCGCTGTTCATAGCTTCCTTTTATCTAATAAACTGTTCAGCTTGCTACCTGTTTTGTAATATCCAGATGTTATTCAACGTTTAAGAGTAACAATCAGTATTATTTTTATATCTGTGAAAGGTAATTAAATAATTTTTTTTTGTCAAAGTAAAATAAATCAAGTAGTAAAATTTGTGGGTCAAGTTCAAAAATGAAATTGCCATGTTTCATATGAACACGTAATAAACCAAGATGAAATGTTGAAATATTTCAAACCAAGGTAATAAATTAATTAGTGGGTATATTAAAGCTTAATCGTGATAAACTATTACCTACTATAATAATATTAATAATAATAATTAATCATACCACTTAAATCAACTTTCATCTTATATATACCCTGCAGGGTATAGCATTTAACTTGTGACTTCCTCGACAAACTCTTTTTTCGGTTGAACACTCCCGTTTATAGTAAACTGCTTGAAATGAAGTAATTGATCGAATTTTATCCGGAAAACGCTGAGCGTAGATATTAACAGCATCATCAAGATTCCTAAATCTACCTATTTTTAGATATTAGGTATTCTGAGAGATAGGACCTTAACATAAATATGATGTTTTTACCACACCCTTTTAAAATAAATTATCTTCATTCAAGGTGATAGGACACTATTAAAAATAATTAGTAATAAAGTGCTTCTGGTATTATTTAGAAATTTTAAACATTGCGTGGGATCAAAATTTACTAATATAATATACAAGGTGTTAGATTTTGTTATTTTTGTAATTAAGATAAATTTAAACAAAATCTGGCAACTTTTTTTGACAGAATCTGGTTGTTATCAACCATAACATAATTAATTAAATTAGACAACCAGATTTAGCCTTTGGAATTTAGAGAAAAAAAAGTTACAGGTGATTCTTTATAAACCTTAAGGAACTACCCATTTTAATAGGTATATTACATTAATTAAATAACACCCTGTATTTAGAATGTAGACTTTGATTTGACAATGCGTAACAAAAAAATTGCTTAATAAAATTACTAGTTAATACCTATATTTGATTAAAAACTACACCATATACTTTCCGTTTCATTTCTGTATAAAACGACAATTTTTAAATTA